GGGGAGGGGGGTACTGGCTTTACTACTCCATAAATCGCAAGACATCGGGCCGGCCGTGTTTGTGACGTTACCGAATTCACCGGTGTGTACGACCAGATATTTATTACGCGGGCAATAATTTACCTCAGTCTCATGCACCGTAAATTTCTTATTAGAAAAGTTCTTTTGTCCCGTGACGTCCCCGTGCCGCGGGGGTGTGCACGTGTACACAGAGAAACAGAAATTTTCGTCCCTTTTCCGGAAATTGAAGGCTGCAAAATTTATTAAGGAAGTCGAAACACCGCAGCGCCGTTCATATTTCAGAACTAAGCGAAGGGAATTCACTTCGGAACAGAAGGAGGTTAAATGTATTTTGGATCCGAGCGAACGTTTTGTGAAATTTTTGATTAACGGGGATTATTATATCGGGCCGGTGGCAGTTTTATCGTCGGAATTAAGCTCTATTAAACTTTGAAACGATTTCGATTTATTTTCGAATCTTCGAATCTTCATTTTCGAAGGTTGTTCTTCGTTAATAGAACGCAACAGTATTTGTCCACATTTCAGAACAGGGGAATTTATTTCGAAACAGAAAGAGGTTAAATGTCTTTGGGCCGGAGCAATATCTTAAATTCTTGATTGAATTCTTGGTTAAATATTATCGAGAACATTCTTTGTTGCAGCATGAACGGGAATGCTTTAGTTTGCTTGAATTAATGTTATCAGGAAAATCTAATCATTTTACCTCGTACAGTAAGAACAGTATCACATTGTTGCAATTAACTCCGTGAAACTTTGGAACGTTCTCAATCGAACGATGACTGAATCTTCATCTTCATCATTAACAAGACTATTATTATAATATGCCACTAGGGGCCATTTAAAGAAAAAAGATTTTGCTTAATCTACGTGTGTATTTTCAAATTTGTGCGTGCACTGCATCTCGTTTATTGGAAGAGAAATATGTCGTAAAATATTCGAAATATTCGGTTCATAAATTTAAATCAGCGAATGATCAAGTTAAATATTCTCGGAATCATCCCTTATTGAATAACAACGGGGGAGGGATTGTTTAGAAATTCAAGGCATTCCCAAGGGATTTCGCGTGTCCTGTTCACCGCAGTTCAGAGTCAACCATTCGCTCGTATAATGAATACTAATACGTCTCTTGCTATCGGGCTAAGTCTAGATAAAGGAGACTGACAATCCCTTGTTAGTTTGTCGTTGATTGAGCAGGGCACGCCGGAAGAGGCGAAACTTTTAATTAGTTACTGATCCCACGGACGATATAATTCCTTCCTGCGGGACGCCTGGCATGACGGGAATAAATTGAAATTGCCCGAGCCGATGGTTCAACATACTTTCGGCTTACTCCTTGCCTTAGGCCATTGAGAAAAATCGCTCTAATCGAACTCGCCCGAAATCGCCCTCCTAAACGAATTACCCGGTTAAATCGATCTCGCGACCGGCGAGAGACTATTGGGAACGCTCCATTTACCTTCCCTTCTATTTCTGGAGTAATCTCGGTAAATCTCACTTGAAGAATTGCGAAGTTGCCTCGATCTTCCATAAAACACTTTATGTTTGTGATGCGTTTGCGAGAAATTTACACGTAGTTAAGAAATTCAAAGACACAGTCGTTAATATTTGTGGGATGAGGAAGGGCCTCATTGCTCGGAATTTCTTCCTGTGTAGCCTAAGAGCGAGGCAATTGTCGCCTCATGTGATTTTCGCGGCGAAAAAATTAGACTTGACACTAGTCGCCCTAATCTTAAAACAGA